GGCGACCTAGGCAGTGAGAATGGAGTGCATGTGAGCAGAGGCCCCGATTATCATCCTCATCTTCAGTCTCCCTGCCTTGAATCAATCCAGACCACAGGACACTTCCTTCTGGAATATCTCTCTGCTCCCACCCATTGCCCAGATGAATGCTGCCACTGGCACGTGCACGGCCGTGGTCTTGGAGGCAGACCCCGCCCCTGTCGAGCCCCAGCTGAGGCCACGGCCCTGGCCGCCTGGGTGACCGCGAGGTCGGGGCTCCAGGCGAGCCGAGCCGGGAGGCTGGTGCGGACGCTGTGAGGTGGTCCAAGGAAGGGGAGTGTGGCCCACAGCACAGACAGCGAGCCCACCCTCCAGGCCGGGGTCTGGGCCTGCCCCTCCCCTCCTGAGCTCTCTTCAGTCATGCTGGCTCCTTGTCAGCTTTTCTCTGGACAAACCCTCTCCGCTCCTATTCTCCGCAGTTTGCTCGTCCCCGCAGCACCGATTACAGACGTGCAGTACGGGCTATACTCCTTCTGTGTCCCAGCGTCAGGGCCACCCTGGAGGCCCGTGAGACCCCACCCGCGGGGTCCTGTCTGCCCTCCTTCACCGGCCTCATTTCCCCACTGCGCTTGCTCTTTCCTTTCACACGGGTTTGCTCTTGTGCTTCGGTCCATCTCCCCCTCTGGGCTTTGATCTCCTGAGGGCGGGGTCCTCGTGGGGTCTTTGACTATGGCCCCCAAGGCCCAACACAGTCCTTGCTCAGGGTGAGGGGCACAGGAGCTGATTGAGTCCAGAGAGGCTCTCGGAGCCCCTACCTGCCTCTGAGCAGCTCACACTGTGCACATGCAGACGACTAATAAGAGGTATAGGTGGTTGGGAGGCAGGGGACTCCCAGCATGATCCCTGAGGGTCCCCTCCCTGCTCCAGAGGTTTCACGGAGCACAGTGGACACGCCTGCCCCCTGGTGGTCGGCACTGGCATGACGGCTCCAGGCAGGAAAACCAGAAAACAAAACACACACCTGTGTCTGGAAGTCGTCAAGGCAGCAGCCCTCCCTGGCCCTAGAGGGGCACAGGAGCGGGCCCCGCGGGCTCCAGGGGCATGTGAGGACCTCAGGGGCCCCCTGTCCCCCGTTTAACCTCCCCCGTCCTGGTGCCCAGTTCACTCCTGCGGCCTCCTCACCCCAGCCCAGGCTCTGCCTTTGGAACCACTTCCTAATGAGGACCCGAGGCTCCAACAAGGAGGGTCTCGACCTCGGTCCCCACACCGGGGTCCACTGCTTGGCCACGCTCTTATCCCAGGTCCTCGGTCCCGCCAGCCCCCGGGCTGCCCTCTGCTCAGAAGGGCCTTGAGGGAATAGAAAGCAGTTTCCCAGGACTCAGAGCATGTTGGGTTAGGGATGGAGATCTAAGGCCAACACAGAAGCCTGTGGGACCCCTGGGACACCTCGTCTATGCAGCACAATTTACACGGGAGTAAGGTGAGGCTGTCCTGCAGCCCCCTCCAACTAGGGGGGTGTCCTTCCAGTTCCAGGTGCCCAGTGTGGACACACGACCCCAGACCACGTCCTTTCCAGGTGCCCCAGGGAAGTGCCCAGCCCAGGCAGCCCCCTGGGCACCATGGGGACCCCGCTGGCCATCAGGCTGTATGTCCCCCCCCCGCCCCCCCATGTATAAGCCCTGCTCATGCTGCCAGGAGCCTGGATGTCCGTGCCCTGTGGCAGAGCGCCTCCAATCCCTTTCTTCTTTCTCCCTTGTCACCTCCCCAGCGTCCACTCCTCTTCTGACCCCATCCCATGGTCCCCATGTGTGAAGTCGATGTGTGTATGTACCTGCGGGCTCGTGGGGAAAGGGCCCAGATGGTACGGGGTGGACGGGGTCCCTCAGGATCTTAGGCGCTCTCATTCTCATTGGAAACCTCATGGGAGGGTTGAGCCCTGGCCCAGGAACCGCGACCTTCCCTTCTCCTCTGGACTCCGCTCACTCAGGACTCCGGGCCAGTCCCCGCCTCTCCTGGTCTCAGTTTCCCAGTTGTACCAGGAGGCGTTGGACGCGGAACTGCGTAAGCGCGCGCTCAGCGTGGACCGGGTGCCGTGCACCCTCCTCGCCGGATGGGGTGTGGGCCGGGGACATGTGGTCCTCCGTCCACCCCCGCCGGCTTGGAGGGCGGCCGGGGCCGGCGGGGGAGCACTCACCTGGCAATCTACCATCATCCTCAGCCCTGGCAGCGCATCGCCGGCCCCAGGGCGGGGCTCGGGGCTCGCAGAGGCCGCTCGCCTCGGCCCGCGCGCGGCCCAGGGGGGCGCCCGGCTGCGGGGCTCATGGCGCGGCCTCCCGTCCTCGCCGGGCCCGGGGCTCCGCGACCGCCGCCGCCCGCGCCGCCGCCGCCGCCCGCGCCGCTCCCATTGTCTGCGCCGCGCTGCGCCGCCGGCCGCTCGGGCCCCGCTGCTCGGTTCCGCCCGGGCTCCCGGGCTCCGACCGGGTGGGCGGGGACAGCCGCGGCCCCGCCCCGCCGCGCCCCGCCCGCCCGCCGCAGGTGTGAGGGGCGGGCCGCGCCGCGCGCGCGCTCCGGGGAGCGCTCGGGGGCGCGCGCGGCCTCCCTCCCGCGGGCAGCGATGGGTGGACCCTGCGGAGGCTACCGGGCTTCGTGTCGCTGTCGCGCGCACACGGGTCCTGTGCGGGCCCGCGGACAGCGCGTGCACGGGGGCCGCGTCTCGCCGCAGACCACGGAGGGCTCGGCGCACGGCGCGTCCCACGCGTCGCCCACGCCCGCTAGGACCTCGCGCCATCCCGAACGCAAGAGGGCGAGGGGCCGTAGGGCGCTGGGCCGGGTTGGCGTGGAGACCTGGCGACTTGGGAATCTCTGAATACACAGCACTATCCTTCTGTCCTGGGCCCCACACGTAGCCTGCAGTGGCCAGCTGGGTGCATGGCTGGCCCAAGGGACCTGGAGGCGGCAGTGGACACCGAGCACGGGCAAGGAGAAGGTCAGTGCGCCTCTTCCCCCTCCTCCTCCACCCTGCTTCCCCTAGTCCCTCTGGCAGGACCCCGGGACACGAGATGCAGCGTGGCCCTGGCACAGCCCTGGTTGGAGTCAGGGGTGTGGGAGGAGGCCCAGGGAGGAGGGGGCCCTCCATCGGGATGCAAGGATGGTCCCCTTTTTAAAAAAGTTTATTTATTAGAGAGAGTGCAGGAGGAGGGACAGAGAGAGGAGAGAGACAGAATCCCAAGCAGCCTCGGCACTGTTAGCTGGAACTCACCAACGGTGAGATGATGACCCCCGCAGAAATCAAGAATCAGATGCTTAACTGGCTGAGCCTGACCTAACCCAAGTGCCCCGTCACCCCTTTTTATACATGAGCAGCGCTTCCAGCGATGAAGCTCACTCAGCTTTGAGTGACCCAAGTCCAGCCGTGAACATGAACGGGGGATTCAGAGTCCTTCGTCTTCACCCTCAGTGAGCCCCGCGCTGACCATCATGGGCCTTGCTGTGGTGGGGCTCCCATGTGCCTCCAGGTCACCCTTCTGGGGTCAGGGTCACAGACTCCATTTTCAGTGAGGCTCCGAGAAGCCACCACATGAGACTGTTGGTCACAGGGCCTTGTGTGACATGGCCCCGCTGTGGGTTTGAACCCAAGTCAATCTGACCCAAAGGTTGTGGCCTCCGAGCCCAGCCTTGGACGCAACGATGTCCTAGATGGGAGCCATGGAGAGGGGCGCCAGTGGCAAGGGGCTCTGAGTGGTGGGCTCCCTGCAGGAGGAAGGCTCTAGGGAGGCTGGAGTGTGGTGAGGGGTGCACACTGGGGAAGGCGTCTGGACCAGCTCATGCAGGGCTCTGGATATCAGGTAAGGAGTCAGGGGTCACTGCAGGTTGGGGAGAAAAGGGGAGACAATTCAGGCAACCATTTTTTTTTTAAGTTTCTTTTGAGAGAGTACACGTGATCAGGGAAGGGCAGAGAGAGGGAAAGAGCATCCCAAGCAGGCTCCATGCTGTCAGCATGAAGCCCAGTTTGGGGCTTGAACTCACAAACTGTGAGATCATGCTCTGAGCCACTATCAGGAGTTGGATGCTTAATGGCTGAGCCCCCCCGGGCACCTGCAGGCAGTCTTATCAGAGCCATAGCATCCTCGATTTGGAGGGAGTTTGGTGGGCATGTTATTTGGCCCCACTCAAGCATGGATCTCCAAAACCAAGCAGGGATGAGGAGGATGCCTCAGTTTCCTCCTGTGCCGTGGAGGCTCTTGGGGTCGGCTGCTGCCTCCTTCCAGGGTGGGGCGTGCTGCTCAGGGGGCCCAGACCTAGCCACGTTGTGAAGTAGCTGTTCTAGAGGACTTGGTGTCCAGAGGTGTCCTGGCCATAATCTCATTTGATCTTCACCCCAGGACCCCAGATGGCCTGTCCAACATCCCACAGGTGCTGTCTCCCCTCCCACAGTCATTCAACATTTATAGGACGCCTCCTGGGTTTCAGCTACGAGGGGAATTGGGGCCTGCCCCAGTCTATCCTCTCTTGGAGTTTACCAGCTGGGGTGAGGGGTGCACACGGGCAGACGTTGTAAATGACACAGGGATGGGGAAGGTTCGTGGGAACACTGAAAGGCAGCCGCTCTGGAGGAGGGCACAAATCAAGACAGACTTCCTGGAGGTGATGTCAGGCGTGAGTCCCCAGAAATCAGCGGGGTGATGGGATGGGCAGACTTGACTGGGGGGCAGCGTGAGCAGAGGTGTGCGGGCCAGGCCCTATGGCCGAGCAATGGTGTGGGGAGGAAGCAGTTGGCCACGAAGGCACAGAAAGCGTAAGTTTCAGGGGCCTCCACGGCAGACATTTTGTCTTTGTGATTTTTGTCTATTTCTTTTGTAATGTTTTGTTTATTTTTGAGAGAGACAGCATGAGCAGGGGAGGGTCAGCGAGAGAGGGAGACACAGAATCCGAAACCGGCTCCAGGCTCTGAGCTGGCTGTCAGCACAGGGCCCGACACGGGGCTTGAACCCACCAACCGTGAGCTCATGACCTGAGCCGAAGTTGGACGCTTAACCTACTGAGCCACCCAGGTACCCCTGATTTTGTCTATTTCTTAAAGAAGTACCTGTGCAATTCAGAAAACTTTGAAGCCCCCCAACCTGATGGGCCCTGGCAACAATGGTGGCTGTGGCTCGGACCTGATCCTGGTCGGGCCCCATCCCCCTCCACCTCCGACCCCACCAGGCCCCTCACTTCCCCCCACCCATGGAGCAGCTGTGGCTCTGAGCCCTCAGCAATTATTTGGAAAGTAACTTGGATCCTGTTTGGGTTCCAAGAGTTGGGTCCTGTCACTCCCTCAACCCGTGTCTGAGAGCTGTGTCCTACGATGGGGGCCGGTGTCAGCCGTATTCCCTGGGGGCTCTGGCGGAGGCTGGGAAGGTCCCTCAGCTGTGTCCACGAGAGGCTGGGCTGGAGGCAAGGCAGGGGCTCCCTTCTCCCCTACAGGCCTGCCGCTGCTGCTGCCTGGGCCTCAGGGCCAGCTCCTCCTGAGGCCTTCTCTGGACTCCGTGTCGAGGGGCCCCAACGTGGAAGCTTCTAGAAGGCAAGCCCTGCTCTTGTCACACAACCTGCATCCCAAGGCAGGGTGCTCCTCACCGGGACACACCCTTGCCCTTCTGCCTTGCAGGCACCTTGGGGCCCCTTCCTGACCTGCCCTCCCCGGCCCAAGCTCTCCCCTCTGCTCAAACTCTTCGTAATCTGTCCTTGCCCACTGGACAGACCCCAGGCTACAGGAGTGGGCCTTGGGCTGACCCCCAGCTTTGCCCGGGGGGCCATGTGGCTGGGTGCCTGTGCCTCCCTACGTGGCCAGAGTGTATCCCTCTGTGTCCCCCTCCTCCCTGCCATGGCAACGGTGATGCTGTCCCCAGAGGAGGGGACACTGGGCCACCAAACCCTGAACCCCCTCTCCCCTATCACTGTCCTGCCAGGCAGCAGCAGCCACCGCAGGGGCTCTGAAGTCCCTCTGGGGCTACCGCCATGCTGAAGCTGCCCTCCCAGGCCCTCTAATCCTGGGCACGCATCACAGCCATGGAGCCCCATGCCTGCTGGTGGCCTCACAGGTCTGAGGCTGCCCGAGTTTCAGGAGGGACCTGTAGACGCACTCATTATGCATCAGGGGCTGAGAGGCCACATGGCGTCCAGCTGATGAGCTCTGGCCCCTCGATCGTCGGGGGTATGGCACCTTCTCCCTCCACCCCTCTCCCGGGAGAACAGGAACGGAATCCTGTCTGCTGCAGTGGCCGCTGTTAATGCAGGCTTTCTGGAAGACTGGACCCTCTCTCCTTGACCCCCACTGGCTGACTGTACGTGAAATCCAGGCTGCCCGGTTCGCCAGCGGCTGGCGGTGCAGACACTCGCATGTGCAGATGAAAACACCCCGGTGAAGGCTTGGCGCGTGCCACGTTTATTAAAAACTGCCCAAACCCTCTTACAAAGGAGGCGGTGGCTGGTGCCAGGCACTGTGGTCCACCACGGGGCACAGGCCAGACTTGACACCAGAGAGAGCCAGGCCTGTTCTGTTGCAAGGGTTCACTCCAGGGCAAAGCGAGGGGTTGGCTCTGTGGGGCTGGGGGGACGTCCCAGCACCCGGGGCCCCTGCAGCCTGAGAAGAGGTGTCTGGGTGCCTTTCACATTGGGTTCGTAGAAGTGCCACCTTAAAGGCAAATAGGCAACAGAAGGGGGCAGAGGTGGGGTCTCAGGCACTGAGAAGGCCTGACACCGAAGCCTGCCCCAGGGCACCTCTGTTAGGCGAGGCCTGTAGCCCTGTCTCCTCCACCCCTTCCCCTTGGGCCACACTGCTGTGTGAGCTTTGTGTTCTGCTCCTATCCGCGCAGCCCTTTACAGTTTACAAAGGCCCTTCCACATCCATTTTCCAGGTGAGTTCTAGTAGACTGAGGTAGGCAGGACTGGACGGGTCTCACCTGAGGCCTGAGAAGCGGAGCCACTGATACAGGGCTCTGCTGGGACGAGCTGGGTGCCCGCCAGCAATGAGAGGGGTGCTCCCCCCGGGGATGAGCAGGGTTACTCCGCTAGGGCAAGAGGGGTGCTCCCCGAGGGATGAGCAGGGTGCTCCCCCAGGACAAGAGGGGTGCTCCCCCAGGGACAAGCAGGGTGCTCCGCCAGGGCAAGAGGGGTGCCCCCCTGGGGACAAGCAGGGTGCTCCGCTAGGGTGAGCGGGGTGCTCCGCAGGGGCAAGCTGGCTGTGGGGCTTGGGTCCCCACCCACGGCAGCCCTGGCTCTGCTGTCAGCTCCTTAGCCAGCTGGTGTCCTTGTCCAGCGTGGAAAAGCGGATCAGCTTCAGGCTCGGTGGCTGGGGCTTCCTGTCATCCCAGAGGTACTCCGGGGACAGCACCCTGGAGGGCTTGTAGGAGATGAAGCGTCGGTTCAGGTGGCTCTCCTCCTGCCAGGCGGCCATGATGCCATTGGCCTTGTCTGCCAGGATGGCCATGTGGCAGCCTGTAGTAAACTCGTACACCCTGGCCACCCGCCCCCCAAAGACTGCCCCACCATAATAGAAGTCCCCCTCATCGTCTGCCACAAAGGCGGTGGAAGTGTGCCTGCGCTCGTAGGGAAACTGCTGGCGGGGCACAGCATAGTAGCCCGGGTGAATGGCGGCCACCAGGTCCCCCAGGGTCTCAGGGCCCCATGGGTTCCGGAACACCATGTCCACATCGAGGCAGAAAATGTAGTCCACCTCCCGGTGCGCCCTCTCCGCGATGTGCCGGCTGATTGTCTCCATCCGGCGCATGGAGATCTCCTCCCAGCGGGAGTGTCTCTGGATGGGGATGACGCTGAGGAGGCGGCGGGGGCCCAGCCGGACCCGAGGGATGGCTGCGGGCTCGTTGGTGAAGATGTAGTAGTGCACCCGGTAACCCCGCATGAAGAACTGCTCGGCTGACTCCAGGAAGTGCTGGACGAAGCGGGTGTACCTGGTAGGAAGAGCCCCGTCATCCCCCCTGGCCCCGCGGGGCCGCTGCCTAGGTCCCCACTCTGCGGGGCATGGGGCTTGGGGTCGGCCAGGCCGGGGCCCACCTCCCAGCTCCCCGCCTTGAGAAGCCACTCAGGTGTGACCTACAGGGTCCTTCTCTGTCAAAGCCCCACAACTGCAGTCCTGACCTCCTTAAATATTTTTTTTTTTGGAGAGAGAGAATGAGAGCACCTGAGTTGGGAAGAGGGGCAGAGAAAGAGAGAGAGAGAATCTCAAGCAGGCTTCACCCTCAGCATGGCGCCGGATGCGGAGTTCAGTCCGACCCTGGGATCGTGACTGTGAGCAGAAATCGAGAGTCGGACCCTCCACCGACTGAGCCCCCGGGCGCCCTGCGGTACAGGCCTCTTACAACCATCGTAGGAATGGTGCTTCACAAGGATTCTCAAAATCACAAACTGAGCTAACTTTTAGTGAGCACTTTCTAGCTGTCAGGCAGTGTTTCAAGGGATTCTTAGCCCCTTTGAGCCTCATAAACTCCCTGAAGGAGGCACCATAATCCCCACTGTAAAGGTTATTTTATTTTACTTTTTTAGTAGTCTCTACACACCCAACGTGTGGCTCTAACTCAAGACCCCGAGAGCAAGAGTTGCATGCTCCACCAACAGCCAGGTCGGCGCCTCCCCCATGAATCCCCATTTTAGAGGCAGAGACACTGAGGCTGAGAGAGAGGAAAGTGACAACACGGGGGCTAAGTGGGCAGCATCAAGGCATCAAGGCCAGGTGAGTGGTGCTGGGGGCTTGGGGCCCAAGGTTCCAGCTGGAGGAAACACCAAGCCACACCCCCCAGGCCAAAGCTGATTGGACCAGACAGTCACCTGACCCAGGGGCGAGCTGTCAGGTGGTGTCTCCTAAAGGAAAGGCCAGGCAGGGTGAGGGACAGGAGAGGAAAACAGGTGTCCAGAGAGGAGGCAGGCCCAGAGTGGGGGGAGGGGAGAGCACCCCGTGGGCAGGCCTTGGCCCGCCTGGAGCCTGACTGTGGCCCCCAGTTATGTGCGGTGGTCTTGAGTGATTCCCTTCCTTCACACCTGCCTGAAGCAGAGAGGGCTACGGAGGCAGGGGGGCGTCCTCACATCGGCCCCTGAAGCTCCTTCATCTGGGCCGCCTCCCTGCTTCCATGCCAGGGCCAGATCCCCTCTTCCGGGAAGCCCTCCCACCATCACCCTCTACTCCCTATCTTCCCCCATACACAGGGCCTGGTTCAGGGCATCCCTGCTGCCCAGGCAGGCTCCTGTGTCCTGCCTCTTCCCGTGGCTCAGGGAGAACCAGCCACCCGGCCCACTACTCACTTGCCGATGGCAAACACCGTGAGCCCGATGGTCAGGTTCAGAGGTTCGTAGATGCGTTGCAGAAGCTCAGGGTTGAAGGTTCCCTCCGAGACAATGGGTGCCAACCAGGGTGTGAGGGTCAGCAGCTCAGTAGGCCTGGCAGCGGGGGAGGCCAGGGCACTGAGGCCCTTTCCCTGTGAAAGCCTCAGCCTCTTCCTGGCCCTGCCTCCTATGCCGTGTGACCTTGGGTGGCTTCATCCCTGTCTCTGGGCCTCACTATTCTCATGTGGAAAGCGGGGACAGGGGCGCCTGGGGGGCTCAGTCGGTTGAGCGTCCGACTTCGGCTCAGGTCATGATCTCAGGGTTCCGGCCCTGCGCTGGGCTCTGTGCCGACAGCCAGCTCAGAGCCTGGAGCCTGTTTCAGATTCTGTGTCTCCCACTCTCTCTGACCCTCCCTTGCTCACGCTGTCTCTCTCAAAAATAAATAAAACATTAAAAAAAAAAAAAAAAGTAAGCGGGGATAATAATGGCTCCTTCCTGGCACGGAGGAGGACAGGAGTTATTGCATGCCGAGTGTCTAAGGGAGCCTGGCATTTCAGGTGCCTGCTAAGCGCCGAATAAATGAGGGGTGTGACTGGGCACTGGCTATGCACCTGTGTGTTCTGTAAACACCATCTCATCATCCACTCCTCCACCCTGCTAGGAGGCGGTTGTTATGATCTACTTGCATAGAAAAAGGCCCAGAGCTGTTGAGTAACCTGCCCAAGGTCACACAGCTAGTGGCAGAACTGGACTGGAACCCAGGTCACAGACTTACCCGGACCCCAGGGCCGCCTGATACCCCCACCGCCCCCAACTTGTAAATCAGAGCTCTGCCCACCCCGCCTTCCCTCCCCACACCAGATGTCTCCATTCCCAGGCCCTTCCCAACGCCTACCTTTGTTCCAGAAGCTTGGGCTGAGGGTACAATGACCTGTAGCCAAGAAGGGCCGGGGGTGAGGAGAGGCAGCCCCCAACCCCCGGGGGGCCACAAAGGGGGAAATGACAGTCTGCTTACTGTGTCACAGGCTGGAATGGCTTCTCCCCCTTGTACTGCAGTTTCATGTTGCTGGTAACAGAGGCAAGAGAGAGGTGTTAGTGCCAGGGCTGGGGACAGACAGATTCAGTGCAGGAGGGACAGAGTGGAGGATAAGCAAACACCCCCAGGGGCAAGCACCCTTCCAGGTTCCGCGCACACTGTGTCGAACCGGCCCCACTGCGTGCCCGCTCTGCTGGCGCTGGGGGCTGGGCTCCCACAGATGCAGTCGGTCCAGGGTCACTAAGGGGCAAGGCGGTGATTTGTACCCGGTACCGTCTGCCTCCAAAGCTGATGCTTTTTCACTCAGGTCACTCTGGAGGGGCCTGGCAGCGGGTGGAAGTTTCGAGAAGCTACAAAGACCCGGAGAGGGCTGTTCTGTGGCTTTCTAGCCTGGGGACCTTGGGCGAGCACCTTCAGCTGAGCCCTGGTGATGGTCGTTCTGGTACCCAGTTACACCCACACCGCTCAAGGCGTTGCTGCTGCGTTGGTATATGGTGGATGTGATTAACATCTACACCCGTTGCCCTTAGGTAAAGATTATCCCGGGTGCCTGGGTGGCTCCATCGGTTAAGTGTTTGGCTCAGGTCCTGATCCTGCAGTTTGTGAGTTCGAGCCCCAAGTAGGGCTCGCTGCTGTCCTAAGCCTGCTTAGGATCCTCTGTCCCCGCTCTCTCTGTCCCTCCCCTGCTCACACTCTTTCAAAGAAATAAAACATTAAAAAGAAAAAAAAAAGGGATGTCCCACATGGCCTGGGGGTGGGGGGCGGGCGCTGGATACAATCAGCTGAAAAGACCTTAAGAACAGAACTGGGGGGGCGGTGTCTGGGTGGCTCAGTCTGCTGAGCGCCCGGCTTTGGCTCCGGTCATGATCTCACGATTCATGGGTTTGAGCCCCACGTCAGGCTCTGTGCTGCCAGCTCCAAGCCTGGAGCCTGTTTCAGATTCTGTGTCTCCCTCTCTCTCTGACCCTCCCCTGCTCACACTGTCTCTCTCTCTGTCAGGGGGAAAAAAAAAAAAAAAGAACAGAGCTGGGGTTTCCGTGAAGAAACACGGTCAGTGTCCACTCCTGGCCGAGCTCCCGCCTGCTCCACGGGGTCCACACTGGCTTAGCTCAATTGGCCAATCTACCTTTCTCCCTCCCGCCTCCACTCCGTTTCTTTAGTGGAACCCTGACTGATATGATGCCCCTACTTTTCCTCATCTGTAAAATGGGTAACCATCCTTAACCCTTAGAGCTGCCTTGAGAATTAAACAAGGTGTGTGCCCAGGCCCAGCACAGAGCAAATGCTTGTTACGGCCAGCCGTCCTGCCTTCCCAGGCAGGCAGTCTGTGTGGCCAGCCTCCACCAGCGACAGCCAGGGTCAGCCAGTGTGCATAAGAAGGAGGTCCCTAACGACGGAGGGTGCAGGTTGCAGGAGCCTCTGGGTCTGCCCCTAACTGGCTGGAGAGACCTGGGGCCAGACATTTGACTCCTCAGGCTCCCGATAAAGTCCTCCCCCAGAGGGTGGAAGTGAGGCCCAGAGAAGGCAAACGCCTTGAGGACCTTTGGAGTGGACCAGCTCCTGAAGGCGCCTGAGGTTGGCTGTAAGGTGCAGAGCACCTGAGGACACTGTGCCTGCCATTCAGTAAACAATTTTCTTTTTTTCTTTTTGTTTTTTAAATGTTTATTTTTGAGAGAGAGAATGCATGCACGAGCTGCTGGGGATAGGCAGAGAGAGAGAGAGAGAGAGAGAGAGAGAGACTGGGAATCCCAAGCAGGCTCCTGGCTATCAGAGCAGAGCTGGATGAGGGGCTCAATCCCACAAACTGTGAGATCAAGACCTGAGCTCAAGTCCAGAGTAAGACGCTTAACCAACTGAGCCACCCAAGCGCCCCAAGAATTTTCAATACGGCATACTTGATATGATAGCTGAAGTCTCCTTAAGTTTTCCTACCAATTTTTAGTCTGTGCTTCTTTTTTTTTCTTTTGGTGGTAAAATGAACAAAACAAAGATTTACTATCTTAACCATTGTTTTTAATTTATTTTTTTAACGTTTATTTTTGAGAGAGACAGAGCATGAGCGGCGGAGGGGCAGAGAGAGAGAGACACAGAATCGGAAGCAGGCTCCAGGCTCTGAGCTGTCAGCACCGAGCCCGATGTAGGGCTCGAACCCACGGACTGCGAGATCATGACCTGAGCCGAAGTCGGACACTTAACCAACTGAGCCACCCAGGTGCCCCTATTATAGTAACCATTTTTAAGCATGCTGTTCAGGGCCATTAGTACATTTGCACTGCTGTGCAATCGTCCCCACCATCCATCTCCAGAACTCTCCCATCTTCTCAAACCAAAACTGTGTCCCCTTTCAACACTGATTCCCCTCTGCCCCATCCACCCGGCCCCTGGTAACCGTTATTCTAGAGAACTGCTTATTCTGGAGATCTCTTATTAAGTGGAATCCTGTAACAGTTGTCCTGCTGTGATTAGTTAGTACTCTTGAATCAACGGTTTTTAAAAGGCCATCAAATTGGCCGTCTGCCCTCGTTTCACACAAACAAGCCCATGTCAGGTCCCTGCTCAGAAAGTAACGGCGTTCTGAGAAGGCAGGAAGGGAGCAGGAAAAGGGCCCAGCCCTGGCAGTTGGACCCTGCCTGGCCCCCGCCCCCGCCTCTCCCCAAGCCCAGCCACACTCCAGCCTCCTTAAAGAGCACGTTGGGGGGCACCTGGGGGGCTCAGTCGGTTGAGCGTCCGACTTTGGCTCAGGTCATGATCTCGCGGTTCATGGGTTCGAGCCCCACATCGGGCTCTGTGCTGACTGCCAGCTCAGAGCCTGGAGCCTGTTCAGATTCTGTGTCTCCTTCTCTCTCTGCCCTTCCCCCCACTCATGCTGTCTCCCTCTCCCAAAAGTAAATAAACATTAAAAATTTTAAAAAAATAGGGGCGCCTGGGTGGCGTAGTCGGTTGAGCGTCCGACTTTCGCTTAGGTCATGATCCCACGGTTCGTGGGTTCGAGCCCCGCGTCAGGCTCTGTGCTGACTGCCAGCTCAGAGCCTGGAGCTTTTTTTTTAGTCTGTGTCTCCCTCTCTCTCTGACCCTCCCCTGCTCACGCTGTTTCTCTCTCTCTCTCTCCTAGAAATAAATAAAAATATTTAAAAAAAATTTTTTTAAAATAAAGAGCACGTTGGTCATAAGAATATCGAACCCACAGATGAGCGGGGGAGGGGGCGTGGCGGGGATGGGGTGGGAATCAGCTTCACGGTTTCATACTGGAAGGAAGGAAAACTAAAAGTGAAGAAATCCAGATGAAAAGCGGAGATGTGACCATTGAACCCAAACAAAAATCTCCAACTTCAATCCATTAAAAAAAAAAAAAAAAAAAAAGAGCTGAGTAGAACCAAACGATAGAAAAAATGTAGCAACTGCTTTTTGCCAAAGGTGATGCTTAGAGGAACCACAGACAGGCCAAGGAGGGAGGGCCGTAGGACAGGTGCATCAGGGAAGAGGAAGTCCAGCTCGTGCGAGGCGCGTGGGAGAAATGAGGCCCTCGGTAGGAATCAAGGAAGTGAAATTGAAACCCAGAAGAGAGTATTCCCCGTCTCGCATCAGCACGGCAGTTTGGTTTTTGCTTTTTGCAACACCTAGCCCTTCTTCCAGCACAGGCCTGGGGGTAGCACCTCTGTGAATGTGACGGTGTGAGCATGGGATGCACCGTGGCCTTCTGGAAAGCAAGAGGCAAGCAGGATGGAGACTCCATCCATAGCCTCTGGCCCAGGGAGGGAACGTACCAATGAAAGGATTTTTATAATTTTTTTATCTAAAAATTTTTTTAACGTTTATTTACTTTGAGAGGGAGAGAGAGAGAGAGAAAATGCAAGCGAGCAGGGGAGGGGCAGTGAGAGGGAGAGAGAGAGAATCTCAAGAGAGAATCTCAAATGGGGCTCCAGTTTACAAACCGTGAGATCCTGACGTGAGCCGAAATTCAGGAGTCATATGCTCAACCGACTGAGCTACCCACGCACCCATGAAAGGATTAAAAAAAAAAATTTTTTTTTTTTACATTTATTTATTTTTGAGAGAGAGAGACAGAGCATGAGCAGGGGAGGGACAGAGAGAGAGGGAGACACAGAATCCGAAGCAGACTCCAGGCTCTCTGAGCTGTTAGCACAGAGCCTGACACGGGGCTCGAACCCACTAACCATGAGATCATGACCTGAGCCAAAGTCGGATGCTCAACTGACTGAGCCACCCAGGCGCCCCATGAAAGGATTTTTAATATGGAAAAAGCTTTATACCCAAACCTGCTCATTATAAACTAATTTAGAACACTGGGGAATTGGACACAATCGAAATACCACAGCCCCATTGTTGGAGGGAAAGGGGGATGGATTCAAGAATTAGGATCCAGGGGCGCCTGGGTGGCTTAGTCGGTTAAGCGTCCGACTTTCGCTTAGGTCATGATCTCGCGGTTCGTGGGTTCGAGCCCCGCATCGGGCTCTGTGCTGACAGCCAGCTCAGAGCCTGGAGCCTGTTTCAGTCTGTGACTCCCTCTCTCTCTGACCCTCCCCTGCTCGCGCTGTCTTTCTCTCTCTCCTAGAAATAAATAAAACATTAAAAAAAAAAAAAAAAAAAAGAATTAGGATCCAGCTCCTGGGGGCAGCAAAATGATGGGGACCATGAAGAAGAAACACATGCCAAAGAATATAGCCAATCCTGGGAAAACAGGATGAAAATTGCAAAGACATTATGATCATAGCTTTTTTGTTTGTTTATTTATTTTTTAAAAAATATTTTTATTTATTTCTAGGAGAGAGAGAGACAGCGTGAGCAGGGGAGGGTCAGAGAGAGAAGGAGACACAGACCCTGAAATAGGCTCCAGGCTCTGAGCTGGCAGTCAGCACAGACCCCGACGTGGGGCTCGAACCCACGAACCACGAGATCATGACCTAAGTGAAAGTTGGACGCTTAACCGACTAAGCCACCCAGGCGCCCCTGTTTATTTATTTTTGAGAGAGAGCACATGAGCAGGGAAGGGGCAGAGAGAGAGAGAGAGAGAGAGAGAGAGAATCCCAAGCAGGCTCTGCACTGTCAGCACAGAGCCTGATGCCAGGCTCGAATTCACGACCCATGAGATCATGACCTGAGCCGAAACGAAGAGTAACCGACAGAGGCACCCAGGCGCCCCAATCATAGCTCTTTTCAATAGCAAGCAGGCTTTCTGCTTTTAGAACCCAGTGAGATGCACCATCTGTTCGCTTGCAAAGTACAGCAGCCAACGAGTCGACAAGGAACTTTGGAAGCAAAGTGTGACTCAGACCCGCAGGCCACAAGAGGGTTTTGTTTTTCCTTTGTCTTTTCTGCTTCCGAGCTTCCTAATTTACCGTACTCTCGTTTGGTGTTTATAACCGTAAAACCCACCTTGTTGATAATTAGCAAGGAGTCTGGGACCCAGATTTGAAACATCCCTCTAGCTAGCATGAAGATACCCCCTTGAGATTCTGCCAACCTGTTTATTCAGTCTTAACTGTCAAAGCGTCAGGTTCCTTGTGTGGCAGAAGACTGATCCCACGCTCATTTGTTCCTTGAATCCTCACTGAACGCAAAATTTAGCCAAAAGGTCAAGTCCTAAAAGCACTGTTTCCTGAGCACCTCCTAGGTGCCACCTGCTACAGCAAGCTATTTATTTGTAGATGTAATCACACTGCATGCTCCAGGTGGCCGGGAGCGGCACTTCTATCATCCCATTTCACAGATGGAGCAAGTGAGACTCAGAGCTGGGCGGCGTGCTCAAGGCCAAACCACAGAGGGGGCGCAAGGACACCGCAGGACTGGAATAGGAATTTTACTCTGTATTTGTGGCAGCCCGTAAATTACCCAAACACTTATCAACCAGTCAGAATCATGAGCTTCGGAACTAATAACCTGCAAACTGATCTTAAATTCTCCCAGCCCCATACTTACAAGATCTCCGGGCAGGGGAGATAATAGGGGACATAGGAGACCAGCAGCCAGTTCTCAAAATACTTCCTGGGGAGGAAAAACACCTGTTGACTGCCACGAGGCTGAAAACCCACTTGGTGCACATTAAGGGAGTGAAGGCCTGCAGTGGGGTGCATCTGGGGGTCCCCCCTACTCCTTGGGTCCGGCTGACCTCGGAGGTCAAAGCCTCCTGGTCTTCTGCAACGCAGTCATTCATTTCCCAGGGAAGGAATGTTCTTGATGCCAGACCCCACACATAAGAGAGTGGTGGTGAGTGGAGGTGGGGTTGGTGGGGCTTCAGAGAAGGAGCACATAGGGTGCATTTTGGTGGGTGGACAGTTCTTCATTAATGTGGCTGGCTAGAAGAATGGTCCAGGCAGAGGAAAGAGCAAGTGCAAAGGCCAGGAGGCTGGTACAAAGCAAAATCCAGAAGCCAAAACTAGTTTGGTCTTCCTGGGGCTGGGGTTGTGGGTCGGGTGTGCCGAGACGTGGATGGGACCTAGGAATCCATAAAGGGGTCAAGTTTGGGGGTTGCAAAGCCAAGAAAGGGAGGGGTCAGGGGTGAAGGGAGGGCTCCATGGGGCATGCCTACCATAGCAAGCAGAGGGCAGTGCCCGACAGCAGGCAGAATCCTAGGCCCAGGGCCAGTCTGTGGCAGCGCATTGCTGGGCACAGCTTTTGAGCCTGGGCACTTGCAGAGGCTGAGAGTGCCTCGGTAAGTCAGCCCCCCTCGCTGGGGGCTGTCAGGCTCTGAGCCGGTGTCTCCTGGTCAGGGAGCACCTGCAAAGGAATGCGGCCTATTCAGGGGAGAGCGGCCCCATCCTCGCTGCCCTCCCCTCCGCTGGGTGTCTCTAGCTGGGACAGCTGCTCTCAGATCTCTCTGGGCGGCGCCGGGGACCCGCGGCAGCTCAGGCCGGGGCGCTTGGGCGGGGCTGGGAGAAGGACGCCTGCAGGCGACAGCGGGGACGCCGGAAACCGAGCCCCGAGTCGGCCGGGCTGGGACACACCCGCCCTGAGTGGGGGCTGCGCGGAGAGGGACGGCCGTGATGCCCCCCAGGATGGCGGCGGGGAGGGGGCAGGGGTGGCAGCCGTGTCTTCCCCGGGAGGCTGGGCCTGGGCTCTCCCGGGGACGGCGGGAACGCGCTTGGCTCCCATTGGCTCGGTAACCTTGGACAGGTCACTCTCCTCCCCCTCCGCCACAGTCTCGGGGTCCTCCTCGGCCAAGGGTCCGCACCCCGTCGCCTGCGGCCGAGACGCTCGCTCACCCGACTTCCGCCGGCCACGGCGGGCTCGGAGCGCGGGGCGGAAGGCGCGCGACTGTCCCCGCGGGCTGTAGACTCACCCCTTGCAGTCGGGCCGGCTTTAGGACGCACGGAGGGGCGCACCCCGGCCCGGAAAGCAGGGACTCGGCTCCCCAGGGCCCCGGCGATGCCCCGTGGCCGGGCCGGGCCTGCAGCCGCGCCCCACACTGGCCCTGCTACAGGGAAGTCTTCCCGGCGCCCCTTCTCCGGCTGGGGGCGGAGCCATGTGGGGCCGCAGGGGGAGGGGAACCGCGCGCCCCGCCCCGCCCCGCCCCGCCGCTGCCCCGCCCCCGCGCCGCTCCGGCTCCCGGCCGCCCCGCGAGCCCGGCCTGCAAGCCGCGCCCACCTGCCCCTCGCGCCCCGCCCGCCGGCAGCGGCGCCGCCCCCGGGTCCTCCCCTGCGGCGTGTGCCCCGGGCTCTGCCCTCCCTTGGCCATCTGGGCGGCAGCCTGTCGCCTAGAGGGCCCAGCTCCGGGCCCCAAGAGCCGGTCCAGGGACTCAGGGTGGGGGTGGAGGCCTGAGAGAAGTTAGAAAAACTTTCATGTTTTTCGAACAGCGTCGAAACAATTGTGGGAAACAAAACCAGCTAAACGTTGCACTTTGCAGTTTAGGCATTCTCCCTTTGCTCGGGGCCTAGCTGCTGGCACGCTGGCTTCGGGCACCCAGTGCGGTTCCGGAATCTCCCTGAGCCTGGTTCCTCCCCGGGGAAAGGAGTTGAAATACTTTCCTCCCAAGGCTTGCTGGGGTACCATTGCCCATTGTTCGCTCAAGGGACTCCCAGAGCCCCAGGGGGGTCCTCTTACATCTCACCAAGGGCTGGAGGGACTGGAAGAGAGCCGCCTTTGCTGAGGCTTGGCTGAGGCAGGGGTCATAAAGAGGGACAAAAAGGGAGCGCACCCTAATGATAAATAAGTGAGTAGTAACAAGGGGAGAGGTGACACAGAGAAACAGCAGGAAAGAGAAAATAAGGAGGATGAGACTTAGAGAGGCTACAGGTTTGTTCAAGGTCACAATGATGCAGCCTGAAGTTGTAAACCCAGATCTTCCTGGACTCTGGGCACAGCCTTTAGGGACCTTTGGAGATGTCACTCTGTCCTTAGGGATCCTTTTGAGGACAGCAGGTTTCTGTAAGGCGGGGCTTGTACTCCAGAAAAAGCAGGAGACTGGCATGTGCCTGGAGGCGCTGGCGAGTGTTGGGAGAAAGGTCATGCTTCCATTTTTAGCTACAAATACGGTTCCCTGGGACCTGGTCTGGGACTGAGTGACTTTTGTTTCGTTTTGTTTTGTTTTCTTAAGTAAGCTCTGTCCTCAAAGTGGGGCTTTTCAACACCCTGGCATCAACACTCACACGCTTTACTGATTCTTGGCCACGGTTTGCTGATCCTATTGCAACTGTATGCCCAAGGCACATAGCCCACAAATAGTGTAAGCACCTCCAGACTGAGGCTCAGGAATCATCACAGTCGGTCAACACAACCCGACTGACCTGTCTGGACAGGAACAGCCCTTTGCCTCCAGGAAGCCAGGCACAAGCCACCCTCTGAACCAGAATGGTTTTTCTCACTCAGTATTCCTGGTGCATGTTCAGGACAATGAAGCCTGCCTCCTCCCGGTAAGAAAGAGGAGAGGCAGGCGGGGCTCACCCAGCCCTGGGGCCCTGGCAGACAAGCCAGCACCCTGCCTGTGGGCCACGGGCCTCTCTGTACCCAACGGGCACCCTCGGGCCGCCCTACCCCACTCCCAGTAGGAGAATTATTCAGCCTAAGGACAGCCTCGGGGCCGGCCTGGGGAGAGCTGGGTGCAAGGAAAGGTGAGGTGAGACAGCAGGGGTGTTCATGACTCCAGAGCCTGGTGACCGAAGTCAGGGAGGCGAGAGGAAGACGGGACGAAATACAGGCTGTGCATTTGAACGTATTCCTAACAGCAGAGGGCGGTGGCTAAGCTAGGAACCCGGGCAGAGCCCTGACGCCTACAAGGGAGCCTGGAGATGGATCGAAAAGAACCAGAGCCAAACCCACAAAGGCACAGGGGCAGAGGGGGGCAGGAGAAATACGTGTGCCGGTTCTGCAGTCCCCCCCACCCGTGTGCGTGAGTGTGTGCGCGCGTGTGTGCATGCGTCTGCATGCATACAACAATGAAATCCTTTATGAATATGACTTCCATGTCTTCTCAGGGTGAGGAGGGCCATGGGGACGGCGCTCCCCTTGCTGGCTGTGCTGAGAGGCTGCACCTCCTGCTGCGTGGGGTCTGGGCTCACTCTTGTGCTCCAGGTGCATGCACACAGCAGGGAGCAGACAGGGTGCTGAGTGCGCTCACAAACTCACCAACAAAGGAACAGGGCGAAAGCGCTTTGTCGCCTGCGGGCTGGGGCAGAAGCTGCATTTCTGAAACTGGGGCTGGAAAGCCACTGCTGTCCCGGTGATGCCCCCTTAGGAGGCCCAAGTCCACCTGCCCCTGGGGAGTGTCACCGACCCACCGCTCGGCCTCAGGGCTCTGCCTCGCCCTATAGGCGCCTGTCTCACTCCAGCTGGAGCCAGCCTGCCGCCTGGGAGCGCGGACACCCCGACGACCTCCAGCACCGGGGGAGACCCCTTCAGGGAAGGACCCGGTCTCCCGGCCTGAGCGCTGGCCCACCACGGGGCTCCCCCTCCTCCTCCGGCCCCCTGGACTCGTCTTCCCTCGGGCTCCCTGGCCCCTAGTCCGCCTCTGCTCAGGGACCACCCTCTGTCCAGGCTCCACCCGCGGGAACTTGGGGCAGGTCGTCTGGAACTTCTGGACTCGCGCTTCCCTGCCGGGACTGGGCAGACGCCTGCCTCCCAGACTCGCCAGAAGG